ATAAATTTATCAAAAATTCAAATTAATATTTATTCATGCATTAGCTGAATGACTTATTTTTCACAACATTCCATGTAGCAAGAAACAAATCATATGCATTAAACAAACATGTTGAAACATTACTATGCACTTAAATAGAAGGTTCTGAAATTTCAAAATGGTTTTGGAACCATAGCAAGCATTTATGAAGCATTTTTATGATTAAATTATGATTGTTAACATTAGGCAACGTATTAAAATGAACATATTGTCTTTGTTCAAGCAATGACTATCAGGAATAATTTTTATTGTCTAAATCCTATACGGTCTGTGTTGTCCACATGAAATGAAAACACACCCTTCTAGCTTTGCATAATGCAGTTGCTCAGCAATGTTGTGTATGCTCCAAGTTTCAAAGTAACATGGATTTTCCCTGCATGGTTGCATTTTTCCTGTTATGTAATGGACTTGGACATTGCTCATGACATAAATCTGGAGGGAGTTAATGCTTGAAATAGTTACCACTATGATACTGCGACTCATTTCCGCTGGTATCCTATTCCCATTGACTGATGATACCTACAAAAGAGAAACTAGAATACAAGATGGTGGGCAGTTCAAATCACCCTTTGTCTGTAGTCCCTAAGTAAACCATCCTTGTTATTGCTATATCTTCTGAAGTACTGGAGATGTTTCAGATCAAAGTAGAAAATTATAACAATAATCAGTGTCATATATAAAGATCATTCAATGTTGGGTGCCAAGTTCCCTCTCTTGTTCAAAACAGATGATTTCAACTTTGCATTTGCAATATAGTTTACCAATGTACAAGGAAAGAAATGTACACTTTTCAATATTTAGCTCAACATTTACATAGTTCAGGTACAACTTTGGTTGAAACATGAACGTTAAACTTAGTAAGGACAAAAAATGCCTTTTTTATGCAAATAAAAATATGTACATGTTACACTATATCATAAGTTCTCTCTAGTATCAAAAAGAAAGTACATCACATCATAAGCAATGAACAAATTGTAAGGGTGATCTAGCCGTGGTGACATCATTCCTCCAGACACTGACAAGGAAAGCGAACATGCATACCTGACGAAATAAACCAGTGAAAATATTTCTTCTTTTTATTTTGTATTATTGGAACCACCCTACCTATGTATTTAGTTTAGCAATAAAAAATAAGGAAGTTGTACAAGTTTGATAAGTGCTTTACCCGCAGTATATATATTAATAGATATATGCAAACATTTTGTCAGTATTCAAAATCAACAATTTTATCTAAAGTAACACTGTTCAGTCTATTAGCAAGTTGACTTAAAGTTCAGAATAACTGAAATTTTAGTAAACTCGTTACCGAAATTGTCACAGGTATCAATATGCTCAAGCTTAAGATGCAGGTAGACCTATTGTTTTGGAAAATTATTGCGAAGGAATTTAAGTCGAAATAGAGTTACATTCGAATGGGCATGCACAAATACGTAGCTGCGTCTGAAGTCCACATAGGACTTCCAGTATTCGTGCACAGTTATCGTTTATAACATTAAATTTATAATATATATCGCACGACCTGAGCCCGCCACCGGTGTGACGTGGCGATATTGGCACCCGGTTAATACGTTCTGCCATATGGACGGCCACAGATTTTATACTGGATGCCAAGCGGGAGTAATCAGGCGCGTTATATGTTTGGTCATGTGATCACTAGTATTAAAATCTGTTGCTAACACTAAAGGCATATCAAATAAAGGTCAAAACACGATTACCTAATAAACATGATATTGTTATTTGTAAAATAAGTATAAAGTACATAGGTCACCAGACACTTCAGAATCCTGTGATGAGGGGTCGGGGCCAGACACTCCAGGATACAGTAGAGAGGGATTGGGACTACACAACTCCAGGATCCTGTGGGGAGGGGTTGTGGCCAGCTACCTAAGGATCCTGCGGGTAGTGGTAGTGACCAGACCCTCCAGAATACATAAGTAAGGGATTGTGACTACACACTCCAGGATCCTGCCAGTAGGGGTTGTGACCAGTCACTTTTGGATCCTATGGGTATATATTGTGGCCAAGCACTCGAGGATCCTGTTGGGAGGGGATGGGGCCAGGTACATTAGGACCCTGCGGGTAGGGGTTGTGACCAGACCTTCCAAGATACAGTAGTGAAGGACTGTGACTATACACTCCAGGATCCTGTGAGGGGTTGTGACCAGACACTCAAGAATCCTATGGGGAGATGTTGTGGCCAGGCACTCGAGGATCCTGTGGGGAGGGGGTGGGGCCAAACACTCAATGATCCTTTGGGGAAGGGGTGGGCCAGGTACTTTAGGACCACGCGATTAGGGATTGTGACCAGACCCTCCAGGATACAGTTGTGAGGGATTGTGACTACACACTCCAGGATCCTGTGAGGAGGGTTGTGACCAGTCACACTAGGATCTTATGGGGAGAGGTTGTGGCCTAGCATTCTAATATCCTGTGTTGAGGGGTTGTGAGCAGACACTTCAGTATACTGTGGGGAGGTGTTGTGACTGACACTCGAGGATCCTGTAAGGGAGGTGTTGTCACCAGGCACTCTAGAATCCTGTGGAGGGGTTGTGACCAGACACTTCAGTATACTGTGAGGAGGGGTTGTGGACTTAAGGGTCCTGTGAGGAATGGGTGTGACCAGGCACTCCCAGATCCTGTTGGGAAAGGTTGTACCCCGACACTCTATGATCCTGTGGGGAGGGATGTGACCAGTCACTCTAGGATTCTGTGTGGAGGGATTGTGACCAGTCACTCTAGGATCCTGAGGGAAGGGTTGTGGCTAGTCAGTCTAGGATCCTCTGGGGAGGGGCTGTCACCAGGCACTCTAGAATCCTGTGACCGAAGGAAGGGTTGTGACCAGTTACTCTAGGATAATGTGGGAAGGGGTTGTGACCATTAACTCTAGGATCCTGTGGGGAGGGGTTGTGACCAGGCATTCTAGGATCCTTTGTGGAGGGGTTGTGACCATTCACTCTAGGATTCTGTGGGGAGGGGTTGTGACCATTCACTCTAGGATCCTATCGGGAGGGATTGTGCCCAGTCAGTCTAGGATCCTGCGTGGAGGGGTTGTGACTAATCACTCTAAGATTCTCTGTGGAGGTGTTATGCCCAGTCACTCTAGGATCCTGTGGGGAGGGGTAGTGCCCTGACACTCTGGGATCCTGTGTAGAGTGGTTGTTGCCAGTCACTCTATGATTCTGTGGGAAGGGTTGTGACCAAACACTCTAGGATCCCATGGGAAGGGGTTGTGCCCAGTCACTCTAGTATCCTGTGTGGAGAGTTTGTGAATCTAGGATCCTTTGTGGAGGGGTTGTGACCAGACACTCTAGGATCCTGCGTGGAGGGGTTGTGACCAGACATTCTAGGATCCTGTGTGGAGGGGTTGTGCCCAGTCACTCTAGGATTCTGTGGGGAGGGGTAGTGCCCTGACACTCTGGGATCCTGTGTAGAGTGGTTGTTGCCAGTCACTCCAGGATCCTGTGGGGAAGCATTGTTATCAGACACCCTAACACCTCTCGGGTAGGGGTTGTGACCAGACAATTTAGAATCATTTCGGAAGTGATTGTGATAAGAAACTCTAGGATCCTGTGGTGAGAGGTCGTGGACAGATACTCTAGACTCATATGTTACATCTGTCATCATAGTTAAAATTATGCGACTGTGATCCATTTTAACAGATTTTGCTTTTCAACTGCTTTTTACCTGATTCTTATTTAGTAGAGAAAACAAAAATACACTTTACCTCACATTTTCCACAATGCTAAGAGCCCATTACGAGTTTGATGTTTTTGCATTGCATACTATAGATAACTGACCTTGAATTATTTTCCTGTAAATAAAAGTAAGCTGCTCTCTGAATGGCTGCAATATGGCCCACGCTGACATCAGTCATTTACAGATGTGATTTGTCATATATATATATCATATTCCATTGAAAGTTCCGGTTCACTCATATCATAAATAGATATAAATATATGATTAAACAATAACTTACCTAGACGCACAGAAAAAGTTTTAAAATCATACTTACTGAAATCATTTTTATGTGGAGAACATAGTAAAACATGAATAAAATAGCATTCACTTTTCACCCAAGTTATTCCTACTTGTCAGTCATTGTTCTGTATAATGATCATGATAGCATTCTCCGACGAGACATGGTTTGATATTATACCTGACATAAAAAAGCGACATGAATATATTGTACCTTGTGTAATCTGTAAGGTTCTATCAATGTTATGGTATGTGTATAAACCTACCATGCTCTATGATAAGGAAACTCAACACTGACCAAAGCCAGAAAATTCAATGACAAAAATGGTGTAGCTGCACGACTAATCTATATATTTCCAAATTATCATTATGATAGTGCAAATTGTAACAAAGTGAAAGAAATGTTCGGGATATGTAAAACTGTTTTATCCTGTAAGGAAAGTCGATTTATACAAAATTTATACTAAATAAGCTACTCATATCAAGATACAGTGATTTTCTGCAAAATAAGCAAACAAATGTATATTTTATTATGAATTGTTTACTGTACTCATCTATTTCTTCTTTTTGACATTTTCTTGCAAACCAAAAACAAAAACAAAAAAGAAAGTCGTGACAAGAACTATTAATCTAAGGTTACGAACATAATTAGGGAAGCGACTAATTTATTCCAAAATGCAGGATGCTTTTCTCCTGTCAGTTTATTTTAAAAAAAGCTCATCCTGGTATATAGTTACAAGACAAGACACTGCAGGTGAACATCACAAGGACAAACCACACTTGTCTCCGTCAAGCCAGACATCACTTTTATTGGTAAGTGTTTGCAGAAAAGTGAACATCATTATATCAATAATGGACAAACTACACTGTTGTTCTGAATCACAACAGTTCTGATCACCAGCCTTGATAATACCAACCAAGTTAAGTTTATCACATATTCATCCATACGAGTTAAACCTCATACTCATTTTCGCTTTCCAGACACGATGTTGCTCTTCCTTTGTTTTTTGTTGCCGATTGTCTCAGCTCTTCCAAACGTTCGGGAATGGTATCAACTATCACAGGCTCAACAGGACGTACCTACTGATCTTTCACCGTATGACGTCAAGTTTTTGGAGTTCCAGAGAAAATACAGTAAGGAACTGAATATAAATGTTCTTTAGCGAGATAGTTTTAAAACCTGATTGTTTTATTACCTTCTATCATAACTCAACCCCACCTACCTCGCTACGTAAGAATAGAGTATATTGGAATTGGATTACATGTCCGTCTGTCCGCCCGACTCCTACTACACGTGTTTTAAAGATTGAACACGGTCAAAATTGACTGTTATCAGGTTGTTGAAAAAATAGCAAATTCATATCTTCTGCCATAAGTAAAGAAAAAGATTAACTTTAACCCTGTTCAGACGTTTTCCTCCTAAATGTAATAAATGTCGTTTGTTTGTGTTATTATTGCTTCTAACACTTTTTAACGTTCCTATAATATCATGTTACGGTAATGACACACCGTTACGGGAATGACAGATCTCCGAAACGATATCGTCATTACCGAAACGTCATCCCGCGTTTCGGTAATGATCGTTTTGGTAATGACATCAATTAATCCCCTTTTGGAACCTCATACAAATATGGCTGTGGAATTAACTTTTGTTCCCACGCTGTTGGTTGTATCAGCTATACTATCAAACTATTACATAATTCCATACATCACATTAATCATTATATTGATTGTTCGGTAATGACCGGTAAAAACATTCCCTAATAATTTTGTACTTACAAACAAGTCCTTCTTCACAAACGAACCGATTCCCTACAAACAGGTGTGTAGGTTGAAGTCTTCCCGCGACAAACTAGCCGAGCAGGAAAACTCCGCGCTAAGCGTGATAACTTCTACGGTATTTTCAATTTTGTGTATTTTTAAACTAAATTATATCTTGTTTATTTTAACTGCCTTTTGAAATTTTATACATCTGTTGAAAAGATGGTGCAATACGGTCATGGGTACATAGAACACGATTTAGTTACACGCGATCTACGTCTAGTTAGGGAATCCTTGAAGACTTTTTAAAAATATTTTATTTTATCTAAAACATGTAGAATATGAATGATTAATTATTTTGAATGGCATTTATCCTCTGACTACTACTTATGTATACGGAGACAAATACAGGATTTTTAATGGTTCAAACAATTTTCTGCGGACAACCCACACTGGAAAATGTCGACATTTCGTGAATTGCGAGCGTATCTAAGTGTTTAAAATCTCTTGTGTTAGGTATTAAGAATGTCTATTGGTTTGAGTAAAGGAATGTAGTAAAATCTCATATTTCAGACAAGGTATACCCAACCGTCCAGGAAGAGTTTAGGAAGTTTGAGATATTCAAGACAAACATTAAGATTATAGAAGAACATAACAAGCTGTATGTATCCGGACTGAAGAAATTCTTCCTTGGAGCCAGCCAGTTTACTGACATGGTTTGTTTTATTTGAAGCAATACAGAAATTTCCCAAGTAATTTTGATATAGCCTAAGTAATCAATATATATATATAGCAATATATAGGACCATATGACGTAGATAAGTATAGAAGATTTAAGAAAGCAAGTTTCTTTTCAGCAAATCATATTGACCAAGCTGATATAGCCAACCGCATGCTCTTTTGCATATAAGAGAGGATTATAGAGGGAAAGGATTGTTCAAAAGATGGGTATATATTACGTTTTCTAAGTATTAAAAATAAAGGCTTATTTGTCCGTTGTCCGTTAACTTTTTCAGATTTTGATCTTTTTCTTAAGATCCTTTGGGTTCATCAAACTTGCAAAATAACTAAAACAATACTATTGTTGAAATGTTCTCTCCAGAGAGAAATGAAATGAAGTAAATGCTAGATTTGGTTGTAATTTCAATGTGTAGCTCTGGCAAAATTGCAAACTTAGTTGTCTCTGGATGTACTGTTTAGCATCCAGTACTGGGGCAATTTTCGGACGTAGCTTTAGTACAGAAACACCAAAAGAATGCCAATTCGTTTGAAACCGTCGATTTTATGTATAGGTATATGCATTTAAAGTTTAAGGAAAAGATTAAATGACTTTGTCACCAAAGATTTAAGGTCACTGAGTCAAAGGTCATTGATACTTGGAAGAAGTATTTTTTTTGTTACAAAATTATATTTTTTGTCTAAGCATATACATTTAAAAGTAGTAGAGAGGGATGCGACAATCATTTTGGACCTAGTTTTTAGGTCAATGGGTCAAATGGCAATCGTCATCATTTTCTTTTATAGGCATATGCATTTGAAACATTAACTCGAATGCCTCACAGAAATAGGCACGCCCTTAACCGACACTTTCAGTGCCACAAGTTAGTTGATTATATCAATTTCAGTTTTGGAGGAAATTCAAATACCCAGAGAAAAATACCTGTAAACGTTGGAAATCGACCGTTAAAAGGCCCGAAGGGGCACTTATTTGTTTCTGATGTGCACAACTTTATTATCATCTCACTGAATTACAGGACTCTGAAGAATTTTCAAAATGGGTCGGCATGAGTTTTATGCGGAAAAGCAATCCAAGTATGACTTCAACCTTCCTACGGCCGAACAACGTCGTGTATCCAGGAGAAGTCGACTGGAGAAAGGAGGGTTACGGGAGTCAAAAACCAGGTGAGAGACTTGAATCAAGAAAATGCATCTTGGTTTGTCAGGAATCGGATTTTTATAAGATTGAATCATGATTAGGAAAACAACTATTTCCAGAAAAAAATGAAAAATAAATGAGGAAAAATCCCTTGTTTAAGGTATTTGTAAAAAAGGAAATTTAATGAAAAAAAACTCTTATTTTCCTATGTATCATCAGATTTGAGTAACTATTGTGTTGGACCTAAATGAAAGTCTTGCCCAAAAATTGCCGCCGTTATCTGTAAATTTTCCATTAGTAGTCAAAGATAAAGTATTATTTTTCAGTTTTGCGGTTATGTAGTCCTGTCAGAGTTTAATATGTAAGAGTATTACCCTGCCCCGTTTCTTATGTAAACAAACCAAGAACAAGGCTGTCCTTGATTTGTTATGTGTCGTCTGCAAAATGGAGACGCTGAGACGAACATAAATGAAACTAGTGTTAAAAATGTGATTTTAGAATTCAGGGACAATGATTAGAGTGCACACACAAGAATTGTTTTAGGAACTGATTTAAAAAAAATAATAAAATTCGGAGAAAAGACGGTGGGCAGTGGCTGTCGAGGTGCCTTGGAGAGCATTCCAATCCAAACCGTTATGTAAGACTTCAGTGATGTTCTAGGAATGTATATGCTATGATGCTGTGGGAACATTAGTACCAGTAAATTGATATATTAACTTAGAGAAGTATGCCAGCATATTAGAGGAAAATAGATGGCCTGTAATACTCTAGCGGTAGTGACAACAATTTTCACTATATTACACCAGTATTCCATTATATTACACTAATAACTAGTAGACCATCATGGTGTATCGATGGGAACACTTGACTCTCCTCATTTATAATACTGTGATAGGAAAACGCAGATCTACATACCTGTATATATGTTTACTCTTATATCACATGAGTTAATCCAATGTTTTGCTCTTTGGCCTCCTTGCGTTGTAGATTATGGCGGATGTCATCGATATACATGGTACGTGTCGTCGGGGAAACAGAAGACGCTTGCTATTCCGAAATAACTGGTCTTATTCTATCTGAACCTTTTCAGGAGTCTCCGTTTTGGTGTTTTTAATCGAGTATCATATATCATTTCAACTTTATGTAGATTTATGTTTGTAATTTTTATTTACAAATTTTCTTGGTATTTAGGGTGCTTGTGAATCTTGCTGGGCATTTAGCGCAGTAGCACACTTTACGTTGTTAAAAAGACATGCATTTCCACATTATAAAGTGTCAAAAAGGGAGACAAATTTCACTTAATCAAATCTTGTATTCAGCTTACACGAAATCTGATATGGATTATGGATTGATAAAATATGCATAAAAATACTGTTTAATTTGGGATTCTGTTGATTATGTAAGTAATGAAAAAAAACCCGAAAATAGTGATATTGAAACATACATGTAGAAATACGAAGTACCTAAAAATTGTGTAGACTTGATGTGTTATATAGTTACGTTGTTTTACAGACCGGTGCTCTCGAGGGACAGTATTTCAAGAAAACGAAGAGTTTAGCATCTCTAAGCCAACAGCAGTTGGTTGACTGTTCCACCAGTTTTGGTGACGAAGGCTGTAATGGTGGTCTTATGGTCAACGCCTTCAAGTACGTAGAGACCAACGGCATAGAATCGGAATTCGACTACCCCTACACTGCCAAGGTATCATCTACATTTACTAGTGAAAAGAATAAAATAAATATGGTGTCCATATATCTAATAAACCATCATTCGCAAATTTAAATTCATTTCCAGATTTCCGTTCGCGAAATCATGTATATATTGGAAGAGGCGAAACAAAGCATTCACGAAATCCACGTGATTAACAGTATATCCTTATTACTTAATTTGATATAGATTTGAAAATATGAATAATAATTTCGCACAAAAAAATGTTTACAAAGAAATAGCTATAAATTAGAAGATAAAGTAATTAAATATTATTTCATTGACATGTTTAGAAGTCACTGTTATTGTCATGGTAACCTATAGAGGAGTGTGTATCCATTATAACTTAAAACATACAGGACGGGACTGTAAGTACAACGCGTCTAAGGTGATAGTGACCTGCACAGGTATAATCGAAATACCATTCGGAAGTGAACTAGACTTGCTAGCGGCCGTGGCCACTGTAGGACCTATATCCGTTTCCATAGACGCAAGTCATATATCATTTCAGCTATACGCGGGCGGTAAGTGGTATGCCATACGTACTTCAATTATTTTCTATCGATTTGATTGGCTGTGAAACTATTTTTTGTACACAGGAATGAATGTCTATGCCTCGGTCAATATGTGTGTATTATAGATACAAGTGTTGTAACTCGTGTGAAGGGTAAACTGAAGATGTAATTTTAAATAATGTTCACGCAGTTCATAATTATAATAAATAATTGATATATTAAGAACGCAAATTCAAATTTTTTCATTTCCTTTTGAAAAATCTAATCAAAATTATTAAAAGACTGATACTTTAATTCATTACATTAGGTGCTAAGGGTCTGGAATTATATCTATAAGGTTAGGAGAATATATCATATAATATATCTATTGCTATCAAAATTGTTTTAAAAAAAATCAAAATTTTGGCCATGCCGTACTGGCTGTAGTCTACGACAAACTCAACGGCAGTCAGATGTGGATAGTCAAAAATAGGTAAGGGTTGATATCTTCAGTCATTTTAATTATTTTCTGTAAATCATACACTATGATTATAATTGAATCAGATAAAGTTAAACAGGAAAATAATGCATTTTATTTTTAGTTGTATGTCCCGCATGTCTATGAAATATGGAAGCATTCCTAATTTTCTGTATATGATTGCAAAATGCAGTGTCTTCATTAGATTCTTTAAAAGGTCCTATTAAGTTCATCTGACAGATATGTAAAAGCCATAGAGCGTTTGAACAGATTAATAATTTGTTGCAAAAGCTAACAGAAAAAAAAATCACAGAAATCAATAAATATGAAATTAACGAAATGTTTGTTTCGATATTGTAGTTGGGGGACGCATTGGGGAGTCGATGGTTATGTGATGATGTCTCGGAACAAAACCAATCAGTGTGGAATTGCTACAATGGCTAGTTACCCACTCTGGTGATCCGTTACTTATATGTACCAATTAACCTCTGTTGTAATAATCTTCCATGGACAGCTCATCGATGATTAAGTTCCATTAATATACAAGTGTTAAATATGAATTAACATACAATTCACGACCTCTCAAACAGACAATTAAAAATATATTAATTCTTTTGCAAAAGTCTAAACTGATACTTTTATTATTATTATTATTTTGGAGGATTCTTTTTTCTTTTTCAACAAGGCTAAGCCAATTTTAGCAAGGTTTCATGTTTTGAATTTTGATGAAAACCTCAAATTGTCACGTCTCCGCCCTACCCGTAACAGATTCACAACATGAACACGTGTTGGCAGTAAGGAAATCCTACTTCCAGTTAAGCCCGATCTTTGTTGGTAAACAACAATTCGAGACTGTCCAAATGTTAATCTACAACACAGTACAAAACATGATTCCGAAAAAAATAAGGAGTTATCACGTTGTCTATCTCAACAATGATATTCCAATAAGAATATATTAACATTCATATACGACATAAGCGTAATGATCTCTTTTCTCTGTTGTGAATTTATTTTGCGATTCTTGATGGTAGCATTCATGTTTTATCAACTTATGGTAATTTTCTAAGAAAGCATTCTATCTCCTTCAAAACATCAAACACTGGACAAAATAAATTAAGTCTTGGAGGTAAAAACAAAATTCAGGTTCTGGCGAGGTTCGAACTCGCGACCTTCTGCGTGTAAAGCAGACGTGATAACCACTACACCACAGAACCGCGCATTCTTTTGCTTTTACGGCCGATTCAAATAGTTGATTGTCAAGTTTATTTAATTCCCCATATTCCTAGTTGATTTTAATGTTTACAGCGAAGTTGAATGCTGATCTAGGATAATGTAAAATATGTCAGTAATATGGATAAAGATAACTAACTGTCAGGTTTCGGCGAGGTTCGAACTCGCGACCTTCTGCGTGTAAAGCAGACGTGATAACCACTACACCACGAAACCGTCATGCAAACAAAATCTCCAGATGTATCATTTGTACAAGATAATAATAGAAGAAAAATAACAATCAGGATCCGACGAGTTTCGAACTCGTGACCTTCTGCGTGTTAAGCAGACGTAATTTTATTTTTTCTTGAAATATTGATTTATTATTCCCATGAAATAGGACCTTCAAGGTTGGGGCCCCGAAGGCTCCTCACAGCACGTATAAAAACACTTAAAATAGTTACAACAACATCAGGTTAAAAATAAAAAATAAAAAAAAATAAAATCAATCTCACAGTTGGTGGCCATAAGAGTTCATCTACAGATAGGTCTACTGGTATCATATTGATAAAACAAAAGATTCTAAGACCTCTGAACCTTTTGAATAGTCAACTGGCTTCAAAAGTGTTGTCAGTAACAAGATATTTCTTGAAAAGATCACATTTCTTCTTCATTTGGTAGTAGATTTTGATATAATCAAAATACTAACGAAATGTATAAATAAAAAACGTCGTAAGATTAATTTGGGACATTTGGTTACCTTCCATATTACACCGTTTGAGAATACAGAAACGTACAATCCCTAAAAAGGAGTTGATGAAAAATGAATTAGTATGTTTAACTTTTTTGGTATAACCCAGAACTATAAGTTTTCCTAACGAAATATCTGCTAGGTAACTCTGATCAGCGTCTGAAAAAAAGTTTCTTGAATAAAATTCGAACATATACCAAAAAACCAGAAAGTTCCGAACAATCAATAAACAGTTGTTGCAACGTCTCTTTAATTACAAACAAGCATGTGTCATTGTTGGCTTTGCCAATTTTCTTTAACTTCTCCATAGTAAATATTGAGTTATGTACAACTCGATAAAAGGGCATCAATAATATCACAAGGCAAAAACGGCATATACATAACAGAAAACACACGCGGAAGATAAACATCTTAAAAAACTCTCTGACCAATAATCCTTAGATTTTGGATTTTAAAAACAATAGCGAATGAAGCATGCATAGATGTCCCAGGTAGTCCTGGGATAGAGTTGTACAGTTGTTCCATTACCATCGTTATAAGTAATATATTGTCTGGACTTTGTTCTCTTATAAATGTGTACATTAGTTAGAATGGCTTTCTTATAATCTGCTGGAATACAGCTCACAATAGTATTAAAACCGGATAGAACTGTGTCCACAGAGATGTTGGGATCATATTCCGTTACAATATCAGCTACAGCATTAGGCGTAAGGAATTTAGATACAACTTCAAGTGTTAAATTTTTGACTTAAGTTACACCAGCCTTATCAAAAGAGTGGATAAAAATAGGTTTACCATTGTTTACAAGTTTTGGATTGAAAACCAATGGTTGTTCATACAAGAAAACTGTATCCATATTGCTATAATAAACCTCATTTACTGTCTGGAAGGCATACCAAGCCTTCAACATTTTACAATAAACAATTAGTAATGACCTTAAATGCTTGTCTGGAAACTGACAGTAAATGACTTCAGCATTATGATTTCAATCAATTACTTGTCAAAAAAGTACACACATGTTCTTCCAAACTGCAGTACAGGATGTATCTAACGACTTAAACAAAAAAAATTATTCTAAAAAACCTTATTTTTATAATTTAGTCAGGTATGTTTAACTCTCCACAATTACTTTTGCCGATAGTAATGTCATACGCCACAAAGTGTGCACCATTATTCCATAAAGAATCTATACACAACTTCTTCACCTCAGTAATAACTGCCAGATGCATAGTATGGGAGGTAAGACAGTACCAACATCTAGACATCAAAAGAGAACTGATTACGGTAGTTCTACCTTGAAGAGTTAGCTTTCTTAGCGACCATAACCAACGGGAGGTAACTCTTAATTATTGATAAAAATCGAAAAGGCATAACAAAAGCAAAGTTCTAAACAGCTAATAATAGAAATATCACAGACATCAGGAGATAACATCAACATACAAGAATAGTTTTGGTTGATAGGAAGATACCAAATAATGGAACGAAAACATACAAAATTTAAGATAAAAAATTCTCATTCAGAAAATGAATATCTAAAGCACTACTAATATTCATATATGCTTATTTGCACATCAAATTGAGAAAATTCATCGTATAAGCACTATAGTGTAACTATAGACTACAACACAAAATACCTAGTGTATGGATCTTGATAAAAATGTGACAGGAGAAAATATAGATATACAAGAGAATCAAATGAGTTGGATATGATCAGCACGGCATCAACATATACATGGATGAGGCTTAAAGAAATATCACCATTAATGATTAATCTTATATACTGCACGTTACCATGTGTTGTCAATTCTAAACGTCGAACAACGTGGAGGTGTGAATCTTGATACGAGGTAGTATATTCAAATTAACATGTTCATTGCACATATTTGACCACGAGTGTATCGAAGTAATTTGCATTCATTTTCAGTGTACAATTAAGTTTAAGTGTATATTTTACAATATAACTGACAGTCATTAATTTCTGGAGTTCTGGTACTATCATGAAAGTCAGATCTTGGATCTTAAGTTAAGAGATGCATCATTTCCGTCTAAACATAAACGAAATTTCGGTTGATATACTTTTATCAATCCGGCACATAATTACACAGGTTTTTACATAATGGAACCAAATATTTCAATATAACATTTTGTCCCCATCTTCTGAAACATTCAAAATAAGAACAGGATACTAGATAGTTGGTGTTTTCTTTCACAAGAATCTTATTTGTTCTGAAAATGATAGTTAAAACTCGACGACGTTACACCAAAATATTTTAAAGTGATATTTCATGATATTTACTCTTAGTGTAAATAATGAAGAATATTGTTAGTTTCAATTGAAACAAATATCTCTTGTCAAATATTTCAAATGTTTGATGCTCCACTCCAAAGTATTGTAGAGTTTATAAACAATTGAAAACGAGAGACACACTATATATTTTCTTGCAACATATTTTTTGCTCAATTTAACTCGAGTTATCTTTCTTAGCATGATAAGAATGACAATGCAGCAGTTCTACTAACAATGTCTAGTTGTATATTGTTAAACGTCCTGTGTGATATTTATGGATTCACGTGACGAGTGCACGTGTTTTTAGGTTGACAAACCGCCTGGTCATATTATGTACACATTGACATCATTTTTTTAAAGAGTGGTGTTCGACTGCTCTTCAGCTGTAAAGGAAACAAGCACACGGTATTATCACTTGTCGGTCCATCAGGGTTCCTCACGGACTGCATAACACGTCAGATATACGACAAAACACGACGACACGACACGACACCACACCACATACTAGATAACATACCACACCACACTACATACCACACCACTTTAACTAAGCACACATATTTAATTATTACAATTATTTTTAAGTAAGCACATCATCTATATAAACTTCAGAATCGTAAACGATCTCAAAAATGTACTGAAAACTTCCATACCGGATAATCAATCACCGAATATACTATTTCCCGTGTAGAAATGCGCGTATTTCTTACAATCGCTAGAATGGTTGGCAGTATTGTAAGATATTTATAACAGGACTGTAAGAAGGAAGAGACATGCTAAATCCTAAACGGAACATTGCTATGACCATGTATTCTGTTGAACTCGAGAAGTCGGTTATGTTTTATTAAAAACTTGCCGACATCGCCAGGTAAACTTTTTAAAATATTTATTTTATTTTTACAAAATATTTTACATAAAACATAATAACATGAAACACACTCTCATCCATGCATACATTTTCAAACAATCATGCACACATACATGTAATGATTTTTTTATCACCATCATCATCAGCATCATCATCATCAGCATCATCATCCATATCGTCCTTACATGTATCATCATCCGTATCATCATCATCATCATCATCATCATCATCATCATCATCATCATCTGCATCATTCCCATCATCATCATCATCATCATCATCATCATCATCATCATCATCATCATCATCATCATCATCATCATCAGCATCTGCATCATTCCCATCATCATCTAGACCATCATCTATTTCATCATTATCACACATACATGCAATCCCTTACATATCTGCCCATCCACACATCCATACACATTTACGTTCATAACAGATATAGACATGCACATCTACAAAAACACAGCCTGAGAGAGAAAAAGGGAGAGAAAGCGAGACAGGAAGAGACATTGAAATGGAGATAAAGAGTAATAAGTAAAATGTATGTTCCTGAAGCTACATGACACTGGGTGGTAGTGGATATTTGATACATGAAAATTTTATATATGCTATTGTATATAAATACTGCACAAAAGGGCATCTGTCAAAGACTGGAGACAGAAACTGAAGTTAACTTAACCTTTTGACAAGACAATACAATACATGTAGGTAATAAATGTGTCAATGTAACATTTGCATTAATTTTCCAATCATTTACAAATTTCTCTTTAGCTATTTCCTCTTTACTGTTAGAAATGTACTTTTGAACTTTATAATGGTCAAGTATAGTAAAAATCAGAGCATTAATATTCAGTGACTTGTGTAGGCATCTAGTTATGTAAATATCTTGTTTAATTAGTAAAATGATTTGATTGTCAATTTTATATAATGCAGAGTTTTTAGTATTGATTTTGCAAAAAGTAGGGTGTGTTTGTTTAAAGTAAACGGAATAAAAATAGTTTCTAATAACAATTCTAAACTCTGAAAAAGATTTTGAGTTTGATCACATTCCCAAAACAAATGTTCAAAGATTTCCTTTTCTGAGTTACAAAGGTTACAAAGAGGACTTTCTACAAGTTTTACTTTAATAAGAAAGGAATTGGTGGTTAGCATATTGTGAGATACTCTAAACTGTATCCACTGAATTTTGGAGTTTTTAGTAATTTGAAAAGGCATTGCATATATACTCTTCCAGTCATCCTCGTTAAAATCAAAGGTCTCTCCCCACTTTTCTTTGCCATAAGCAACTAAAGTGTTTATATTATTTAATAATTCATAAAAAACTTTTGAACCTTTAGTCTTCTTTAGAAATATAGCAATGTTGACTGGTAGAACAGGACGAGTTAGTTTGTATTTCCCAATGTAATGGTTTTGTAAAGATCTTCTAATGGCTGATACTATACCAATATATTTTTAAAATGTTTCTGTCAATATTGTATTTATGTATAAATTCATCATATGTAAAGAAAGTATTTGTGTTGTAGTCCTTAATGAAGTCTCCTATTAAGTAAATGCCTTTTTCATGCCATCTCGGATAAAAAATGGTTTGCCACCAACTGTTACATTATCATTATGCCATATAGGTGTTTGCAAAAGTGACTTCCCCTTTAGTAGTTTCATGTTAACTGAGTTATCTAATCTACGCCAAGCTCCCAAAACATCTTTCCAAAAACTATTGTTACAATTTTCTTGAGAAATCTTTATATAGTTACCTCCAATATCTAGAAGTCTATTTACGTTCACTAATTTTTCCAAAATTACTCTCCATTTGCCTGGAGATGAATATAACCTTTTAATCAAGTCAATTCCAAAGCATCAATGAAGTAATAAATATTAAGCATTTTTACACCACCATGAGTATAATCTTGTACAATAACTTCCTTTTTAACTTTACCAACCTTACTGTGCCATACGAATTCACATAAAATAGAGTTTATTTTATCTGGATTCGGAAAGGAATTAAATACGTGATTAAACTGTGAAATCATCAGTGATTTTAACAAGTGTATTTTCCCAATTGGTGTTAAATTCCTTCTGCTCCACATACTAATAACACGTTTTAATTTATTATTTTATGTCAAATTCATCTTGATCACCTCATGTAGATTTGCGCTAAAATCTATTACTAAAAGACAAAATTTAGTTTTTCCCCATTGAAGATTTAATTCTGGTAAGAAGTTTTGCTGACTATGTTTTTTACTCCCAATCCAAACAATTTCAGTTTTGTCAATATTAACCTTTTGGCCAGAAATATTTGCAAATGTGTTTAATTCCCTTATAGATTCTCTCAATGACTGCTCAGTTCCATCTTAAGTCAAATAAGTATCATCTGCATATTGTGATAGTAAAACATATGTATTATCAACTTTATTACCTTTTATTCTTTTATTATTTCGAAATCTGATGGCAAGAATTTCAGCACATAGAATGAAAATGTACGGTGCTATCGGGTCACCTTGCCGACATCCCCTATTGATATTAAAAAATGAAGAAAGATTCCCCCCTTGATTGACAACAGCCCCTACATTATTATGAAACAGTTTTACCCAGTTTAAAATATCATTTTCGAAGCCAAAAAAACGCAATATCCTATCTATAAAATTCCAAGAAACCGAGTCAAATGCTTTTTCAAAATCTATCATTAGAACCATACCAGGAATGTTATTTTCTTCAGTAAAACACATAACATCATATAAAATCCTCGTATTTTCACCTATATATCGTCCCGCAAGAAATCCTGTCCGTTCCCTATTAATAATTTTATCAAGTACTGATTTTATTATGTTAGCTATTACCCCAGATGCTATTTTATATACAATATCAAGTAGAGTGATAGGCCTCCAGTTTTTAATGAAATGCCGTGGTTTATCTTTTTTAGGAATACAAGTAATAATGCCATGACGTTGTGTGATTGATAGTTCTCCCTTCTTAAACCCATAATTTAATGATCGAACAAGAAAATTACCAAGCTGTTTCCAAAAATGTTTGAAGAATTCAACTGTAAAACCATTTGATCCAGGGCTTTTGTTATTTTTCATAACTTATAACTGCTATTATAATCTATGTCAGGATTGATTACTAAGTTAAAATCACCACAGATAATTACTCTATCGTTTCCAAAACTGCCTATAGTGTCAGCAAATAGGTTATAAAAATATGGTTCGTCTAAATTTGGACCATATAATGTAATAAGTGTAATATACATGTTTTTAAGTTCTACCTCGATAGCTAAAAATTGCCGGACAAATCCTTCTTCTCTTTCTTAACCTTAAATTCAAAATTATTATTAAAAATATTGCAACACCCCTTGCATTTGGATTTAAAATAATTAAAATAACATTCGAAACCCCACTCATAACGAATAATATTTTTAGTTTCCTGAGTAAAGTGTCTCGTGTACAAAATATAATATATTTTCCCCCTCTTAAATAAGAAAAAATGTCTTTACGTTTGACAAGGTCTCCCAGTCCCTGACAATTAGCGATACAATATTCAAATCATCTATAATCAAACAAGCAGAAACATATTCTTAGTAGAATGTAAGTGCAATCACCAGTTTAATGTTTTGTTATTACGTTTACCACCCAAAAAGAACAGGAAAGTGAAGTAAAGAATAAAGAATCGCCATGTATATTTAAATAAACAAATCATGTACAATGCATACCAAATATGTTTAATCCATGGTCAGGTCCAGTAATCAGACAAAAATCACAAATGACCTGCCTAGTCTGTAAATGCTACACGAGGTCAACTCACAGAGAGTTATAGTTTTTATGAACTAATTGTATTACACAGTATGACTCCTTACAGGTATATGCCTGCGGGTAACATACGATCAGATATTGACCACCAATCATTTCATCACCAGTGTTTCTCACAGAGGCCCCAACAATACTGTGGACCTCGGGATCTCTTACTGATAATACATCATTTAATTAAATGAGTAGCATTAATATATCAATTAAGATCGAGACATTAAGCGCCCACGGCGTTGACTTCTAACATAGAAAACACGTAACAACATGGCGGACTGAATAAGCGTTAGATTTTTAGTTGTGCTTTCTAGCTATGAAGTTGACACCAACCGTACGAATTGTTGTAATTGTTTTATGTTCAGTATGTGGCGGTACGTATATATTTTATAACAATTTTTTTCATTACATATGTATTTATATAATGTAACATTTAAGTGTGGATTTTGATTTCATTGATTTCATATTTATTTTCACCATTAGAACAAGTTTGTACAAATTATTTACACCTTCTCACGATACACTTTTTCACGGAGAAACAAAGAAGCATACTTACATGTAATAATAATAATTATTATCATTAAAATAAAAATCGATCACTAACTTAATGAAGGATTGCGCATGTCTGAAAATATCTGAATTAAGATATATGGCAATAGCACTCAAATTGAATGCAACATTGGAAGTAGTAAATTTTTTGATAAACTACCTTGGTGTACTAGTATTTACGAGATAAAGCTAATTGTAGAGTTAACCTTGTGAACAGTACTTAATTAAAGGATAAAGCTAGTTATAGTGTTAACCTTGTGAACCTGTACTTAATTAAATGATAAAGCTAATTATAGTGTTAACCTTGTGAACCAGTTATTGATTAAAGGATAAAGCTAGTTATAGTGTTACCCTTGTGAACCTGTACTTAATTAAATGATAAAGCTAATTATAGTGTTAACCTTGTGAACCAGTTATTGATTAAAGGATAAAGCTAGTTATAGTGTTACCCTTGTGAACCTGTACTTAATTAAATCGGATAAAGCTAATTATAGTGTTAACCTTGTGAACCAGTACTTAATTAAAGGATAAAGCTAATTATAGTGTTAACCTTGTTAACCAGTACTTAATTAAAGGATAAAGCTAATTATAGTGTTAACCTTGTGAACAGTAATTAATTAAAGGATAAAGCTAGTTATAGTGTTACCCTTGTGAACCTGTACTTAATTAAAGGATAAAGCTGAATGGAGATTCCATATATTAGTCTGATAAGAGTAATATAACTCGACATAGTCTTCCACTTCATATGGGATTTAACAATTTGGTCATTGCTCCATCGTCTAACTGTAATGTTTATTTTAAGGGTAACATAGATACTGTTTTTTGTTGAAATAAGATTCTTCCTCTAGCGTGTCATCCAGGTAAATGTTAGCAATGGAATAGGGTTAAGCATTTTCTAAATACCGCTGTCAGCCGAATATCATTTTCTTCCCGTGCAGGTATCGGAATCGATATATTGTATTTTTTACATTACCATGTCCGTGAGCTGTTAATCGTCAAACCGTTATTAACTGAGTCGCTTCGGAACTCACAGCTACACGTGTAACTCTAATTTTTTCAGTGGACAGTTCAGCTTAAAGATATTAGTGATTATGTACTAATTATATTGACAGGCAAAGCTTTGCTTTAAGACAAACTCCTTAATTAACCAAAACCAAAGATCGACGAGTGAAATACGAAATTGAGTATTTGATGATTGATGTCCATTAAGATATAATTAGTTTTAATTTTTTCAGCGTTTGCGGGCTATCGCCGAGTGTGTTATTACACTAACTGGTCACGTTATCGTTATGGACTTGGTCGATACTTCCCTAACAATACAGATCCACACCTGTGTACTCACATAGTATTTGCCTTCGCAAAACTTGAAAAAAGTGAACTTGCTGTGTATGAAGACGATGAAACCCTGTAAGTTGAAGTTGTTAGTAGTCATGACTATCAATATGGTTAATGAACTGATTGTCCAGACATGTTGAGCTAACGGGCCAATGAAACCTTTACAAATTTTAGATATCTTCGATAATTCATAATTATTTCATATCAGTCATTCCCTATGATAATTCATTGTCATTTCATATCAGTTATTCCCTATGATAATTCATTGTCATTTCATATAAGTTATTCCCTATGTTAATTCATAGTCATTTCATATCAGTTATTCCCTATGATAATTCATTGTCATTTCATATCAGTCATTCCCTATGGCAATTCATTGTCATTTCATATCAGTTATTCCCTGTTAATTCATAGTCATTTCATATAAGTTATTCCCTATGTTAATTCATAGTCATTTCATATAAGTTATTCCATGTGTTAATTCATTTTCATTTCATATCAGTTATTCCCTATGTTAATTAATTGTCATTTCATATCAGTTATTCCCTATGTTAATCCATTGTCATTTCATATCAGTTATTCCCTGTGTTGATTCTTAGTAATTTCGTCTCAGTTATTCCCTATGGTAATTCATATTAATTTCATAAAAGTTATTCCCTATGTTAATTCATTGTCATTTCATATCAGTTATTCCCTATGGTAATTCATTGTAATTCATATTAATTTCATAATAAGTTATTTCTTGTGTTAATTCATATTCATTTCATCTCAGTCATTCCCTGTGTTAATTCATTGTCATTTCATATCAGTAATTCCCTATGGTAATTCATTGTCACTTCATATCAGTTATTCCCTGCGGTAATTCATAGTCCATAAATTGTTTTAATATCAGTTATTTTATATAGTAATTCATAGTCATTTTATATTACGGTTGCTATTTCAATGATTCCCGATTGCAAGTTTTCACATCAATTGATATATCCAGATATGAAGAAATCAACAAATTGAAGCTCACCAACCCGAGCCTGAAGACTATGATTGCAGTCGGCGGATGGAACCAAGAAAGTATCGAGTGGTCCGATCTCGTCTCTAAAACTAACAAAATGAACAAATTCATCGTCAAATCCATTCCATTCATACGTAGACATGGCTTTGATGGCCTAGATCTGGACTGGGAATACCCCGCATTGCGTACCGGAGCTAATGCTACCACTGACAAACACAACTTTGCAGTTCTATGCAAGGTTTGTGTATAAAGCATTAAAGCATAAATATCTTCTATCCCTTTTCTGTAGAAAAAATAAACAAACAAAAAACAAAAACATAACCAACAACATCTAATGAAGAAAGGGATATTTTGGAGTTGACATGAGAGACGTCTGTTAGACATATTTAATATTCGGTGGGTAACTGTGCGTGTTATTAAAGCAATTATCATGTTTCGAAATTAAGAAAGATTATAAGAAAAGATGATTGAATCTATTCATTAGTCCATTTTTTCCACAGAAACTACGACTAGCGTACGATAGGGAAGCACGACTGACAGGACAAGCTCGACTTCTGTTGTCGGTAGCGGTAGCAGCATCGAAAAAAATAGTCGACGTGTCTTACGAAGTACCGACTATATCTAGGTAGGACATCGGTGCAATCTTGTTAATATGTCTTTCTATTCATACCCCTGTAATAAATCTTCACGTGCATCTCTATCCATATCTATGAAATATATCTTTCTTTTTCAACATTCACAATCATTCACAAGCAAACAATTCTTCACATCCGCGACTTTCTCAATCATTTCACATCACGTCCAGATTAGGAGAATATTCGGGCTCTGTCACAATATCTTATAATCTATTGTCTCGTGGTTTAATCAGCTAATTTTTCTGTTGTACATTTTGATAATTTGCATTTCTTATTCTAATAAAATAACAAATAATAAAACTATTTAAAAAAATGGAAAATTAACAATAAGATATTGTTTTATGACTAACTTTGTCCGTGTCTTACTACTACACTATAGGTGGACTATGTATATTTAGTATGTTTCATAATGACTAACTTTGCCGAAGTCTTACTACTACACTAATTTTACTATAAATTCACTGCCTAGAAAAAAAAACCAGACATGCATGTTTGAACTCACGGACTCTTTGTTTGGTGAATGGTGTAATTGTTGAGATGTTTTAGGAAAGAACTTATATAATGTTGTTATAACTGACTGTTGCGGGACGTGTGTCAATCGAAATATAATCTACTTGATACGATGGTGTTTACGTTACGTAAATCTACTGGGTGGGTTGTAAAGGTTTTTAAGTATCCAGAGAAAACGTTTTGGGTTACACAAAGATAAAGCGAACGATTCAAACTTTTATTAAGCATTGTAGAAGACCAGATGAAGAAGTACTTCATTTTTATGAATATGAAATCTGTATGTTTTAGTTTTAATTACGTTGTATTTCTTCCTGAATAAGGAGCGCAATGTATACACGGAATATTTAAAAAGTTTAACAATATATATATATATATATATTTCAACGTTTTAACAGACATTTTAACATGTAAGATAATAAGTTTGCTTTAGAAGATATATACATATAAACAATTGTATTTTATGTAACTCTCGTGTTAAGTAAGATATATACACATTAACAATTGTATTTTATGAAACTCTCGCGTTAAGTAAGATATACACACATAAACAATTGTATTTTATGTAACTCTCGTGTTAAGTAAGATATATACACATTAACAATTGTATTTTATGAAACTCTCGTGTTAAGTAAGATATACACACATAAACAATTGTATTTTATGTAACTCTCGTGTTAAGTAAGATATATACACATAAACAATTGTATTTTATGTAACTCTCGTGTTAAGTAAGATATACGCACATTAACAACTGTATTTTATGTAACTCTCGTGTTAAGTAAGATATATACACATTAACAATTGTATTTTATGAAACTCTCGTGTTAAGTAGAAATTAGTACTTATATAGAATTTATCTTGTTACACCAGGTACGTTGATTTCATCAATCTGATGAGCTATGACCTGCACGGGAGCTGGCTGATGCAAACGGGCCATCATTCTCTACTACATGACAGAGGCTACAACAGCGATAACGCAGAAGACATCTACCTTGATATCGTACGTTCCTTTTTTTCTTTATTTTTTTGATATTAGTTCTATTGTACTATTTTGAGTGCGTGTGATGTACAATGTGCTTGTAATTCTGTAGGACTGGGCTGCACGGTATTGGGTCCTACTCGGTGCTTCTAAAGAACAAATGAATATAGGTCTGTCTTTCTACGGACGTGGATTTACCCTGAAAGACCCCAATGATAGTGGATTCGGAGCGCCAACCAAGGGTCCTAGCCGACCTGGTCCATTCACCAGAGAGTCTGGCTACATGGCATACTACGAGGTAAACGCAAGCAAAGGGTGATAAGTGATTTGAGGAAGTGTCCAACACCACCACTTTTATTTGTAAAATAGTAACAATAACACGGTTCCTTCATCACATTGAAGTTGTCGATTCAGTATTTTTAACTTCTTTTAGACATATGTTCATGTAACCTGTCAAAATATCTTGAAGAACTGCCAATTAGGAATACCTTGTGTATCATACTAATTATACTCCGCGTATTTCAGATTTGTCTGCTGTTAGCCCGTGGAGGACAAATGAACCGGGACGCAGGCGAGCCCATCTACATCAATGGCAACCAATGGATCGGTTATGATGACGAAATCAGCATTTCTAAAAAGGTTAGCATAAACATCGGTGAAACGATTATTAAACACTTGATCACATACCGCTCTTTCGATTTTTTTGTTCCTTTTGGTATTTTTTTACTGGTACTTTCAATACATTTCTTAAAGGATATATCTTGATGGTATAGTCTTGTCGAGATATCTTTTGAAAGATGACAACATCTTCTAAGATGAAATGGAAGTGTCCTTATATTGGCATATGATACATTTTGCAAGGTATTATTAGTTGAGATGATTTTATGTGTGTGTTATTTTGACGATGTTAATGCTTAGGAGTAACATTGACTTAATACTTATCAGTCTCATTGTATTACCAATCTCTGTGTGAAAACGAGGAGAATTTGAAGATAACAGAGTCACTGCTGTACATTGTTGTCGAACAGGTTGCTTGGTTGATACACGAGGGATTTGGTGGAGCGATGATGTGGGCGCTTCCGTTAGATGACTTCAATCAAGAATGTCCTTTGTCAAGAAGAAAATTCCCACTTGCAAATAGAGTAAAAGACGATCTTTTGGCTGCCGATTCGACTGTAACTGGTTCGGAAACAACTACAAGTAGCCAGTGGTCAATACTGAATGATCTTTTATGAAGACGGACAACATCTTCACGTACATAGATGTAGTGAAAGTTGTTTACCTCATGTAAAGTATACAATAGAAGTGGAACACATTCGCTTTGTTGTATAGTATTGGAAAGATTAGATTTATGTCAGAAATTTGAAATAAATCCAATAATATTTTTTCTGTCATTTCGGGTTTTTTTAAAAAAATTGAATTGTGACTTTAATGTGACGGATTTCTTCTCTAAAAAGGACGTTACAAGCCTTTGTACTATTGCTACTGATGTGGACGTTATTGTGATAAAGAAATCTTACTTTTTCTGAACACTTGGTCTTAATATTTGTGTACGCTTTCAAGTACAATAATATACACAATAGGATGACTTAACAGATATATATAAAACCACGAAATAATATACACAATAGGATGACTTTACGGATATATATAAAACCACGAAATAATATACACAGTGGGATGACTTAACGGATATATATAAAACCACGAAATAATATACACAATAGGATGACTTTACGGATATATATAAAACCACGAAATAATATACACAGTGGGATGACTTTACAGATATATATAACCACGAAATAATATACACAGTGGGATGACTTTACAGATATATATAAAACCACGAAATAATATACACAGTGGGATGACTTTACGGATATATATAAAACCACGAAATAATATACACAGTGGGATGACTTTACAGATATATATAACCACGAAATAATATACACAGTGGGATGACTTTACAGATATATATAACCACGAAATAATATACACAGTGGAATTTATCGAAAACCACTAAATAATATACACAGTGGGATGACTTTACGGATATATATAACCACGAAATAATATACACAGTGGGATGACTTTACAGATATATATAAAACCACGAAATAATATACACAGTGGGATGACTTTACGGATATATATAAAACCACGAAATAATATACACAGTGGGATGACTTTACAGATATATATAACCACGAAATGATATACACAGTGGGATGACTTTACACAGTGGGATGACTTAACGGATATATATAACCACGAAATAATATACACAGTGGGATGACTTAACGGATATGTATAAAACCACTAAATAATATACACAGTGGGATGACTTTACGGATATATATAAAACCACGAAATAATATACACAGTGGGATGACTTTACAGATATATATAACCACGAAATAATATACACAGTGGGATGACTTTACAGATATATATAAAACCACGAAATAATATACACAGTGGGATGACTTTACAGATATATATAAAACCACGAAATAATATACACAGTGGGATGACTTTACAGATATATATAACCACGAAATAATATACACAGTGGGATGACTTTACAGATATATATAACCATGAAATAATATACACAGTGGGATTTATCGAAAACCACGAAATGATATACACAGTGGGATGACTTTACAGATATATATAACCACGAAATAATATACACAGTGGGATGACTTTACAGATATATATATAAAACCACGAAATAATATACACAGTGGGATGACTTTACAGATATATATAACCACGAAATAATATACACAGTGGGATGACTTTACAGATATATATAAAACCACGAAATAATATACACAGTGGGATGACTTTACGGATATATATAAAACCACGAAATAATATACACAGTGGGATGACTTTACAGATATATATAACCACGAAATGATATACACAGTGGGATGACTTTACGGATATGTATAAAACCACTAAATAATATACACAGTGGGATGACTTAACGGATATATATAAAACCACGAAATAATATACACAGTGGGATGACTTAACGGATATATATAAAACCACGAAATAATATACACAGTGGGATGACTTAACGGATATGTATAAAACCACTAAATAATATACACAGTGGGATGACTTTACAGATATATATAAAACCACGAAATAATATACACAGTGGGATGACTTTACGGATATATATAAAAGCACGAAATAATATACACAGTGGGATGACTTAACGGATATATATAAAAGCACGAAATAATATACACAGTGGGATGACTTTACGGATATATATAAAACCACGAAATAATATACACAGTGGGATTTATCGAAAACCACTAAATAATATACACAGTGGGATGACTTTACGGATATGTATAAAACCACGAAATAATATACACAGTGGGATGACTTAACGGATATATATAAAACCACGATATAATATACACAGTGGGATGACTTAACGGATATGTATACAGCCACTAAATAATATACACAGTGGGATGACTTTACAGATATATATAAAACCACGAAATAATATACACAGTGGGATGACTTAACGGGTATATATAAAACCACGAAATAATATACACAGTGGGATGACTTTACGGATATATATAAAACCACGAAATAATATACACAGTGGGATGACTTAACGGATATATATAAAAGCACGAAATAATATACACAGTGGGATGACTTAACGGATATATATAAAACCACGAAATAATATACACAGTGGGATTTATCGAAAACCACTAAATAATATACACAGTGGGATGACTTTACGGATATGTATAAAACCACGAAATAATATACACAGTGGGATGACTTTACGGATATGTATAAAACCACGAAATGATATACACAGTGGGATGACTTAACGGATATGTATAAAACCACGAGATGATATACACAGTGGGATGACTTAACGGATATGTATAAAACCACGAAATGATATACACAGTGGGATGACTTAACGGATATGTATAAAACCACTAAATGATATACACAGTGGGATGACTTAACGGATATGTATAAAACCACGAAATGATATACACAGTGGGATGACATAACGGATATATATAAAACCACGAAATGATATACACAGTGGGATGACTTTACAGATATGTATAAAACCACTAAATAATATACACAGTGGGATGACTTAACGGATATGTATAAAACCACGAAATGATATACACAGTGGGATGACTTAACGGATATGTATAAAACCACGAAATGATATACACAGTGGGATGACTTAACGGATATGTATAAAACCACGAGATGATATACACAGTGGGATGACTTTACAGATATGTATAAAACCACGAAATAATATACACAGTGGGATGACTTTACGGATATATATAAAACCACTAAATAATATACACAGTGGGATGACTTTACGGATATATATAAAACCACGAAATAATATACACAGTGGGATAACTTTACGGATATGTAAAAAACCACGAAATAATATACACAGTGGGATGACTTTACGGATATGTATAAAACCACGAAATAATATACACAGTGGGATGACTTTACGGATATGTATACAGCCACTAAATGATAGACACAACAAAATGACCTATGATATATCTTAATATCATTTGATCGAATGACTGTACTTTCATCACCACAGGTGACCTGAAAAAGCTGAAGTGCTCTCCCCTTCCATGCAACCTAATATTGTCGACTTATTATGATATATAATCATAATCAAACAAAAAGTGATAGAGTCTTGAACACAAAATGACAAAGTTTGTTTCATGTGTCAAATAGAAACAAAAAAAAATCGAGATTGGATCATAAAGTAACAGTCTGTTTCATCTACCAAAACAGGAACAAAAAATTCCGGTCTGGAACTACGTTAGTAGTTAATTTGATTGAATATAAAATACAAAATAACATTTATGTCTGTCTTTACATGGAAATTATGTGCCAAATTGAATTAAAATAAGTAGATTGTCGTGATATACCTATACTCGAAACAAGCACAGCTATGTGTGACATGAAAGACGTGAACATCCTGTATACAGTTAGTAAAAAGGCAAATGTTGAAAGAAAGTCAATTTACTTCAAATATAGGTCATACTGACTACAGTTCTGATTGTATGATTCTTATTGTTCGTTTATGAAATCCTGGTAAATGTCTAAAATTCGTACAAATGGTTAGGATGATCAATTTTAGAAATAAAGACCACTTACTAATGGTCATACAATGAATTAAACTGCATAATGTAGCTATTTCGACCTTCTTTGCATTGATACATACATTCATGGCTACCGAGGAAAATCTAAATTGGAAAAAAAGTAAAAATGCAGATTGAGAGGTACACTAACACCATCATTAAATTAATTTCATAGGCTAAGGTAAAGGGCAGAATTCGGTATATCCTGGGAACTAAAAACTAATTGAGGTTTGTATGTTTGTTCCATCAATGACTCATATTGTATATTTGGAAATGGTAAATGTAAGAATTGAACCATCTTCAGGTGATTTTCTTAAAATGTAGTTACGCTTGGTCGTGTATTATACATATGTATCTTTTTGGCGTTTTTAATGAGCTAAAATCCTCGAAATCGGTCACGGTCTTCATATGGAATCAGATACTCTGTTATTACATTTTTTATGTCTGGCAATTGTCGGAATGTGAAGCAGAAAACTCTTCTTCCTACATCACTTCTTTACCCAATGCACGCTTAAAGGCGTTTTGTTTTCTAAGGCTCACTATTCTCTTCTGTAGTATAATCATTTCAAGAGCCCTGCAATTGCACTATACATCCGCCTCTTACATATGATAAATGATGTTCCTGTTTGATTTCGCCCGAATAAAATAAAAACATTAAGATAAAGGATTCAGGAGTAAAACGTTAAAATACAAAGATAAATGCGTCAGGAGTAAACGTTAAAACACAAAGATAAAGGCCTCATGAGTAAACGTTAAAACACAAAGATAAATGCGCCAGAAGTAAACGTTAAAACACAAAGATAAAGGCTTCAAGGAGTAAAAGTTAAAACACAAATATTAAGGCCTCAGAAGTAAAACGTTAAAACACAAAGATCAAGGCTTCAAGGAGTAAAAGTTAAAACACAAAGATAAAGGCGTCAGTAGCTAAACGTTAAAACACAAAGATAAAGGCTTCAGTAGCTAAACGTTAAAACACAAAGATAAAGG